GGTGTGTGTGTGTGTGTGTGTGTGTGTGTGCGTGTGTGTGTGTGTGTGTGGTGTGTGCGTGTGTGTATGTGTGTGTGTGTGTGTGTAGGGTGTGTGTGTAGGTGTGGGTGTATGTGTGTGTGTGTGTGTGGGTGTATGTGTAAGGAATCATGTGAACCTGCAACACGAACACACTATAGAACACCACAGCACGACGTACCTTCGGCCTTGCCGACGACCCAGTGCGCCGAATCAAACCCGGCCACCTTTGCATTCAGGTCGCCATCCACGAGGCAGTTCCTGTCGCGAGGAGGGGGGAAGGGGCGAAGGGACAGGAGGGTGGTGGTGGTGGTGGTGGTGGTGGTGGTGGTGGTGGTGGTGGAGATGAAGGAGGTGAGGGTTGGAGGGGGGGGGGGCGGAGGAGGAGGAGGACTTGGAGTGATCAAGGGACTATCTTTATCTTCAAACCATGACATACATACATACACGTGGACACATACACAATCATACACACGCATACATGCATACACACACAAGAGTTGACCCACACACCCAACGCACACGCATACATGCATACACACGCGTGCATACACATACATACAAATACATACACATACATACACATACACACAAAAGAGTTGACCCACACACCCAACGCACACCTCACGGTGGTGCAATGCGTACTTTGCGGCGAGGTATCTGTGCACGAAACCCTGGTTTGAGAGGAAGGCCATTCCACGGGCAATGTCGGCCAGCAGTTTGATGCGCTCAGAGAGAAGCAGCGTCTGTGCACTGGGGCGCGCTGTGGTGGTGCGGTGTGTTGATTGTGTGTGTGTGTGTGTGTGTGTGTTCGTGTGTGTACATGTGTGTATGTGTGGTGTGTGTGTTGTGGTTTTGCGTGTGAGTAACTGGTCGTGTTGCGGTTGTAAAAAACAGAGAAACACGTGCTTTCATCCTATCCACTCTTCAACACAAGCACGACACATCACGCCACACCACACAACACCGCACGTACAGTCTGCGGCCTTTGCTTTGAGCAACACTTCCTGGAAGGATCCACACTCGCACAGTTCCGTGATGATCATAAACGGATGCGTGTTGGTCACGACGCCAAACAGCTTCAGCACCTGTGCAGTGTGTTGTGTGCGTTGCGTGAGCGTGTTCGTGTTATGGGTGTGTGTTGTGTGCGTTTTGTGTGTGTTGTAAATGTGTTTGTGTTGTTGTTGAGAACCATTGTTCATGTCACCTGCACAGCACGCGTCAGCTGCACACGGCTCTTCATTCACGCATTGTCGCATTCATGTGCACACACTCTCATAAGCAGCACGCATCTCTTCCTCTGCTTACGTTGATGTGTTCTGGGAATGCAAACGTGTGCATGGTGTATGCGGCCTCGAAGAAGTCGGCGTGCTCGGTCGTGTTCTCGGTTGCATTCAGCACCTTGATGGCAACCTGCGCGCAGGGAATGGGAAGCGGGAGGGGGTAATTGGTGAGGGGTGGAGGCGTGTGGAGGTGTTTGTAATCAAAAGCCTTGCAGATAATGCAATGGCACGTACAAATCTGAACATAAAACGAGTAGAAAGGGAGTACAAGATGCACACACACACACAGACGCACAGACGAGCACACACACAAGCACACACACACACACACGCACACACACACACACAGACGCACACACACACACACACACACGCGCGCGCGCACAAAAGGGCACACACAAGCGCGCGCACACACACAGACGCACACGGAATGCCACAACTCACGTCAACGGTGCCCCTGTCCTTGAGGTGGCGTGCTGTTCCGGCGTACACGCGGCCGTAACGCCCCCGTCCAATCTCCTGTCGCACAACGAGCGCCGATGGCGGCAGCTCCCACTCGAACAGCGGATGGTTCGGAGTGGTGTTGGGGCCCGAGCTGAAGATGGACATGCGTGATGCACGATGCTTCTTGGAATTGAACGTCATCTTCGCCTCTGGTGGTGGTGGTCGTGGTGAGAGAGAAGCGGGGGTGGGTTGTTGGTGATGGGTGTTGGTGAAGGATGGTGTGTGTGGTTGTGATGAAGGTTGTTGTTGTTGTTCGTGTTGTTGGTATGGTTGAGTGTGGAAGGATGTTGTTGGTGGTGTTGTTGGTGTTGTTGGTGTTGTTGAGTGTGATTAAGGTGGTGATGAAGGTGGTGATGAAGGTAAGGAGCAACTGAAAGATACGAGAAACAAGCTCCGTATCCAAGGACGCATTCAAGCACGCGTGCGTGCAAGCACTTGTGTTTGTCGTACTCTCTTGGCGTCTGCGGCGGGTGGCGTGCGAGAAGCCGGCAACAGCGAGCGTGGCGCCAGCAAAGATGACTGTGTCACGTGGAACGGGCAGTGAGGCGACGGTGAATGCAGAGAGGGAGGCACGTGCATCACAACATGGGTTGGGCCAAGGTCGATGTAGGAAGAAGCATTTCACGCGTCACGCACATACACGCACTTGGGTGTAGCTCACAACTGCACAAACACGCACACACACAGCAGGTGCGACTCACAGAAGAGTACGATGAGAGCAATGCCATCGGTGGTGCTGGTGAAGCGGACAAACACGTGCATGTTGCCTGAGCCAGGGATGTCGTTTTGCACTGCCGGGGTTTGGAAGGGGGTAAGAGAGGGGTGAGCATGTTGAAGGTGTTGGAAATACGGTCGTGTCATTCAAGCACACAACCCACACACACAACCGACACACACAACCGACACACACACACACACACACACACACACACACACACACAACAACACAAACACAAACACAAAACACAAAACACAAAACACACCAAAAAGGCCCCTCTTGTGCTCTTACGCTTGATGTATTCGAGGCGCAGGTGCGGCCTTCGCCCGACGTCGTTGACAAATGTGTGCGGGAGCGGTGTTGGTCTTGGCGGTGGCGGCAATTGGATCACAAACACAATTGGATCCTCCTTCTCCCACGATGGCGTGTCCACCATTGTTTGCACCAGCCTACGGGTTGGCCCGGGGGGGGGGGGGGGGAGAAGAGTCATGGGTGAGGGTGGTGGTATCACGGTTGTTGTTGTTGTTGTTGTTGTTGGGTGGGGTGGGGCGCTGTGCACGCAGACGCAACGTAACGCTGCGCACAAACCAAATCATGAACTCAGAAGCGTGCACACAGGCACACAGACATGCAACAAAGATATAGACAACACACACACACACACACAACACCAACACGCTCTCACACGCTCATGCACACGTTGGAGCCAACCAACAAACGCATAACGCACTGGAAGAGCTGGGATGTGCGTTCGGTCTGCCAGTCCTCCCACTCGCCAATGGACCATTCTGACACTTGAGGCAGCAGCGCTGAGCACGTCAGTTGTGTTGCAAGTGACGGGAGTGCAGTCAGTATTGAATGGACGTGAGCGAGAATGCAACAATGCACGGCACTCACAGGCGCAGCATTCAGTTACAATGGAAGCATCAGTTGCAGTAGCAGCAAGAAGCGTTCGCATGTAACAAGGCCGCACCTCTGCCTGTGATGTCGTTGTCTGCAGTTGTGAGGAGTGTTGCGTTTGTCGGCGTGGTGGTCTGGATCCACACCGTCGTCTCGTTTGTCGCGTTGCCAGACATCTCCGCTGTTGATGTGTGTGTGTGTACGTGTGTGTGTGTGTGTGTGAGTGTGTGTGTATGGGTGTGTGTGTGTGCATGTGTGTGTGTGTGTGTGTGTGTGTGTGTGTGTGTGTGTGTCAGCGTGAAGACGTCGTGTATGGCGCCAGGAATGCGACAGCTTCAGTCACATCCATGCACTGACTTGGAAAGAGGAGGCGACAGTTGGTGACATGTGCGTTGGGCGGCAGTGGGATGCGGGGGAACCTGGCACCAAAGCAGCAAGCAAGTGAGCAAGCGCGTGTGAGAGCGAAGCAGGTGAGGTGGTGACAGCTGTGTTGAGCAAAGGCGAGCAAACGATTGGCATACATGCACGACTGATCACAGCAAACCATCTCCTCTGGGCCCTCACAAACAACCACACCTGAGAGCAACGGTGACTTCTTGATTTGCGTTGTTAATGGGAAATGACACGTTACCGACGGCCCCGTGCACCTTGCCCGTCTCCAGTTCATATGATACCGCTGGCTGGTACACGTTGAACGAGTTGTACCCTGCGTGTTGTGCGTTGCGCGACATTGGTGAGCACAAAACGCGGTGCAGGTGTTGAGAGGGCGCTGAAATTCTCGCACAGTGCGCTGTAGCGGCTCACCTGCGTGTGCGACGCTGCATAGCGCGCAGAGCGCAAGCAGCCGAAAGACAATCCTCATCGTGTACGATCCTTTCTGTGTGCGTATGCGTGAGCGGAATCACTAAATGTGCTGCACTCTGGACAGCGTGGATGTGTGAATGTGGATGTGTGTGTGTGTGTGCGAGTGAGTGAGTGTATGAGACAAGCGCTGCTTGGCTTGGTTTGGCTGGTTGGCTGGCTGGCAGGCAATTGACTTGTGTCATCAGCATACACGCACACACACACACATGGGCTCGATTAGCTGTGCTGCCTCACCGGTAGATACAAGCAAGCAGCAAAGGGCAGTGTCGAAAACTCGCTTTCTTGCTCTCCGACTCTCCTCCTGTTCTCCGACTCTTCTCTTCTTGTCTCTCACGCACAACACGCACCAGGCGTTGAAGGCATGCGAAAACTTCTTCCACAAGCTCGCTTGCTTGCTTTGGTTGTGTTGTGTTGGTTTTGAGGCGGTCGCATTCCAACCTCCCAGGGTTGATGGGAGGCATTGTCAGGCAACCCGCGCCCTCGCATCGCAACACCGCCGCACGCCATCACCGTCGCCACACGCACGCAAACCAGCCGCTTCGCTGCCCCGTACGGTGCCGTATGCGTTTGGTGTGTCAGCACCATAGAAAACAGCACAAGCAGTAGTAAAACATCCAACAAATTGTGTGTGGGCAAACCCGATTTTGCCGCTTACATTGTTGTTGGCAAACAAATTCAAAAACGCTTCGCTTTCTTCGCTTCTCGCTGTTTTT